GGCGGGGCGTTGCTATAGAGGAAGTTCTGTTGCTAGGGCGTCTGGGGTCTCCTACGGGGCTGTGGTTCACGGCCGCAGGAATGAGCTTTAGGAATCTGGAGTCTCTCTTTAGATTTTTTAAAAAGAATTATTTATTTAATTTAATTTATTATCATTTTTTTTAGAAGTTTGATCAGAGAAAAAGAAAGTGAGAAATTAAGCCGCCAGGTCAGGACTCCAACCAGGAGTAGCCATGTGGGAGTGCCGCACCTGAACCACCCCACCACCTGCTGGCCCCACAGAGGTTTTTTTTTTTTTTGGAGAAGTTTTCACTATAGCGCGCGTGCGCTCCCCAGACAGACAGAGAGAGACATAGAGACAGAAAGTGAGAAATCACCCCCCAGGGGGGATGGCCACGCCGCAGTCCCTTCTCCTCCATTCTCCTCTTGGGATCTTGGGCGCACACGCACACGTGCCCGGCTTAAGTCACCTGGTCTGCGACTCGAACCACAGTTGACTACATGGGAGTCTAGTGACATAGCCATTATGCTAACTGCTGGTCCCAAGGACATTTATAGTATTTTTGAAAATCTAATTTTATGGGACCAGCAGATTACATAGCAGTTAGGTCTCTGGACTCCCACAAGGCTGAATGCAGTTGAATCCCAGCCCCAGGGGCTTCAAAATCATGCAGGGCTCCTGTGCATGCTGGCTCAAGATAGGGAAGGAGAGGGGATCATGGTGTGGCCGCTCCCTGGGGGTGATTTCTCACTTTGTTCCCTCCTGCCCAGCACATGTGCCCTAAAGCAAAAACCCCTCCAAAAAAAAAAAAAAAAAGGAAAGGAATTAAGTATGGAAACATTTACTTTACTATCTTCATTTACTACTAGGGTGCCCAGTTGAACCAGCCATGCCTCAGGGCAGCACTCAGTCCCTGCTTGCTCTGGGCCTCCTCACCCCACCCGAGAACCAGCAACCAGTGCCCCACTGACTCCCACTCCTGGCCTGGCCTCAGAACCCTCCAGCCAGAGCTCCAGCCCTGTGAGAGATGCTTCCTCTGCCCGCTCAGCATCCTTTCGTCTTTTTTTTTGGCTAGAGAGTGCTCGCTCTTCACCAGAGGCAGGAGAGAGCCAGCCCTTGGGGAGTGGTCACACTGCATCCTGCATTCCCTTCTCTCTGTCTGTCTGTCTGTCTCTCAGGACTCCAGGCATGCACGCACACTTCCAGGCAAACACACACTCGGTGTTTCTCAAGCTACCGAGGTGACAGCCAGCTCCATCTCTCCTTCAACGGTGGCCTCAGGGGCTTCACTCTTGCCCAGGTGCAGGGACCCTGGCTGCTGCTCATTTACGTAGCTCCACAGCTTGGACCATCAGGTCCCAGGTTGCTCTTTCCTGAAAACCAGTGGCACAAGGAAAGGCTTCACTTCTGCCTAGTAATACACCCCATGTGGCCGAGAGAACCAAACAGCCCTAGGAGCAAACCAGCCCAGACCAGGCCCCCATCTGAGGCTAAATTCTGAACAGGGCCTGCCTGGTCAGCCCACTGTGGACTCCAGTGCCAGAGTCAGCCGTGCAGGATCCAGCTGCCTTCACCACCAAGCCTTGCCCAGCAGCATTCAAGGATTCCCGTGGAACACCCTTCTCACTGAGAATCAGTAAATCTGATTTGTCAGACCGAGGATTGATCCTAGTGGGCTTTGGCAGGTTAGGCTTTTTATTATTATTATTTTGTTTATTTAATTTTATTTATTATTATTATTTTTTAATTTGTTATAGAGCACGTGTGCTCACCAGAGAGACAGAAAGTGAGAAAGCAAGCCACCAGGTCTGGAACTCGAACCACAGTGCGCATATTGAAGTTCTGCACCCTCACCACCACACCACCTACTAGCCAGCAGATTAGGCTTTAACAAGTTCATTTTACAAACTTTTTTATCTCCCACTGAACAAAACACTTCAGTTATGAATCCTGTAAGTGAAGTGGAAGTAGACGACGTTTTAAAACCCTGTACCCCTCCCCAATCCAGTGTACACTCACTGCTCCCCGTGTCCCAAATATCCTCCGGCAAGGTCCTCACACCTGGTGCGCGGCTGACCACGAGAGGGCGCGCGAAGACGCAGATTCCTGGCATCCTCTCAGCCATACAAATTCCTGGAGGACAGGGACCGGCACTTCCATTCTGGGCATCTGGCACGGTGCTGGCACACAATAAATACTCAATGCGTTTTTGTTGACTGAATCAAGGAACGAGAGTGTGCGTGTGTGGCAGAGGGAACAAGAGAGACGAGACGAGCACACACGGTAATAATTCAAAGGTAAATGCAAACGCCATCGTCGAGGATGAACGTAAGCCCCAGCAGTGCGGGTAAGTGCTGCCGGAGACCCATGTGGCCGACCGGGTGCAGTTCGAGTCCAGTCACAGTGGCTTGCAAAGCCCGCTGGGCACCCACATGTGTGCTAAGGATCCTGGGTTGGGGAATCAGAGGAAAAGGGATTGCAGTATAGACAGGCCCTGTAGGGGGTGCTCTCTGCCCCCCTTCCTTCTGTGTGCATGAGCCCTCTGGCTTAAATAAAAATAAATATCATTGATTGTAATTAGTCATTATTTAGCCAAACTGGGACAGCCTTTCCCGTCACAGTTAGAAATGCAAAGCTCAAAATACACGTTTCTGAGGACATTACGAGCTGCCTAAAGATGACTTTGGGTCCAAGAACCAAAGAGCTGGAAATGGCGGGGAAGGCTGCCGTGAATCCCCGAAACCCTAGCGATCCTGCTACAAGACAATAGTGAGCATGAATGACAGGTTTGTTTTTTACTTCAAAGACTGTTGTTTGCCAAAATAAAGTGTTCACATTCCTTTGTTAGGACTTACCCTTTTTATGTATTTATCTTTTAAAAATCTTATTTATTGGTACCAGCAGTTAGCGTAATGGCTATGTCGCTGGACTCCCATGTAGTCGACCGCGTTTTGAGTCCCGGACCTGATGCCTAAAACTCACGCCGGGTCCATGTGCGTGCATGCCCAAGATCCTGAAAGGAGAGTGGAGGAGAAGGGATTGCAGCGTGGCCATCCCCCCTGGGGGTGATTTCTCGCTTTCTGTCTCTCTGTCTCTGTCTTTCTGGTGAGCACGCGGGCCCTATAGCAAAAAACCTCCCCCCGCCAAAAAAAAAATTAAGGTTTTGCCATAGGGCACATGCACTCACTGGAGAAAATTAAGAAATCACCCCCAAAGGGAGTGGTCACAGCATAACGTCTTCTCCATTCTCCTGCTGGGGTTTTGGGCACACACACATGCATGCCCTGCATGGATTTCAAGCCACTGGGTCTGGGACTGTTCAGAACCGCAGTCAGCCATGTGGGAGTCCGACATCTTGGCCACTACATCATCTGCTGGCCCTGTATTCTAACTTTTAAAACGTTGCTATCGTGCATGCCTGTTCCCCAGAGTGAGAGAATAAAGTGAGGAGGCACTCCCCAGGACGGATGGCCACAGTGCAGTCCCTTACAAGTCTCCCCTCAGGATTCTGAGCACACACACACCTACTCGGTATGTTTTTATTTTCTTTCTTTCTTTCTGTTTTAAAGAATTATTTTTATTAAATAAACTTTATTTATTTATTTCAATTTGACCAGAGAGGGACAGAGCAAGAGGGGGAGAGAGAGAGAAGGAAAGCGAGAAAGCAAGCCCCCAGGTCCGGGACTTGAACCATGATTTGCGGTGTGAGAGTCCAGCGCCCTTAACCATGGCACCACCTGCTGGCCCCACCGCTTAGTATGTTTTTCAAGCCACCAGTTCTGGGATTTGCAAAGCACAGCCAACCACGTGAGATCCAGCCACATTAACCACTATGCCACTGGCTAGCCCTCCCATTTTCTTATTTTTATTTTTATTTTTTTTTGAGAAGTTTTCGCTATAGGGTGTGCGCGCTCGCCAGACAGAGAGAGAGACAGAGAGACAGAAAGCAAGAAATCACCCCCAGGGGGGATGGTCACACTGCAATCCCTTCTCCTCCATTCTCCTCTCAGGAGCTTGGGCATGCACGCACACGCGCCCAGCGTGAGTTTAAGCCACTGGGTCCGGGACGCAAACCGCGGTCGACTATGTGGGAGTCCAGCGACATAGCCACTATGCTAACTGCTGGTTCCCTCCAATTTTTTAAATTTTTTAATCAGAGGAGAATTTACGTGGTTGTATGCACTGTGTAAATATGGGTTGAGCTGAGCACCTATAATGTGTGTGCTTTTCAGTGTGTGTACTACACTCCATGAGCTTCCTGAAAGTAAACCAACGGTCCTCACACATGGAGCAGGGAGAGCATGAAGATCGTTAACAGGAGAAACCGTCACTGCGGAGAAGACCCGTCAGCTCCTGCAGCCTGGGCAGCAGTACCACCACCCTCCCAGGCGCTGAGACCGGACAGAGAAGCTGAGAAAAGGGAACTGGTGGCCTGAGGAGGAAGAGGAAGCAGAGTGTGGAAACCAGCATCCCTGCTGGTCCTCACAGCCAGAGGTCTAGGCCCCCCACGATGGCTGACAGAGGCAGAGAAAAGGCTTTGTTCGAGACTGCACTGAGCTAGCCATTTGACCTCTCTAAGTCTTCATTTTATAGGATGCATCCACTCACGATAGAGACACAGAGAAAGCGAGAAATCACCCCCAGGTGGGATGGCCATGCTGCAATCCCTTCTCCTCCATTCTCCTCTCAGGATCTTGGGCACTCATGCACATGCGCCCAGCGTGTTTGAAGTCACTGGATCTGGGACTTGAACCGCACTTGGCCATGTGGGGGTCCAGTGACACTCATTTTATATTCTTTAAAGCTGTGATGATAATACTGAACCAAGGCAACTGATGGCATGGTGGTTAGGGCACCTGAGTCCCACATGGCCATGGCAGTTGAAGTCTCAGACCTCGTGACTTGAAAAACACACCAGGTATGTGTGTGTGCATGCCCAAAACCCTGAGAGGAGAGTGGGGAAGGGATTGCAGGGTGCCCATCCCCCATGGGCGGCAATTTCTCACTTTCCCACTGTCTCTCCAGTGAGTGCACACACCCCATAGCAAAAAAAAACTGAAAGAAGAGAGGACCAGCAGTTAGCGTAATGGCTATGTCATTGAACTCCCAGGTAGCCGACCGCAGTTCGAGTCCCAGACCCGGTGGCTTAAACTCACGCCCGTGTGTGTGTGTATGTGTGTGTGTGCCCAAGATCCTGAGAGGAGAATGGAGGAGAGGGGATTACGGCGTGGCCAATCCCCTGGGGGGTGATTTCTCGCTTTTTGTCGCTCTGTCTTTCTGGTGAGCACATGCTTCCTATAGCAAAAACCTCTAAAATAAATAAATAAATAAATTTTTTAAAAAATGAAAGAAAACCAGCAAACCCATTGGGCTGCTGTGAGCGGTCAATAGAAGAACATGCTGTTGAGTTTGCGAAGGATGCATTGTGCATCATTGCCACCAGAGGGAGCTCTACAAACGACCTGGAAGGGCTAAAACCCCATGGAGGGCCTGTGGTTCAAATCAGCAGGCCAGGATGTCCCACATCAGGCGTAGAGGCCTAAGGTAGTGGAGGCCTCCCCATTGTTTTCCTGGACCACGCCAATCTCCTGGCCTCCAAGATGAGTCTGATTGTACCTGGATACCGCCCCTGGATGAACCACCCGTCTGGAATAGCATGGAGGGGCCCCAGGCCACCTACTGGCTCTGTGCCCTAAGGCATCCGCAGGGAGCCTGCTCCTGGAGGTGAGGAGGAGGGGCTGATCCCACATGCGCCCCAGGCTCACCTCCTGGTGAGGGATCAACACCCTCACCCCTGGATTCCACCCAGAGGCACTAGCCACGCCCCTGTGCCACCATGCCCCGCAGTTAATAAGGCCCACTGGATCCTTGACGGGCCCTGCAGTTAGACACAGGCTGGAGCTCAAGTGCCACCACTTGCCATGTGACCTTGAGCAAGTCGTCTTACTCTCTGAGCCTGCTAAGCTTTTATTCTTATCCACAAAACTTTTCTTGGTTCCAAAACACCTTCTCATCTATGACCTAAGTGAGGACAGAGCAGGTGCCTTCATTTCATGATTGTGCGGGGCTCAGTGACATCCCCAAGGTCACACCGGTGGCCAGTGGACAGAGGCTGAAGACCCAGCTCTGAGTAAAACTGCTGGCGAGGCTCCTGTGGAGGAAGTAGAGCAGCCGCCCCAAAGCCTGAGGCCACAGGAGCAGGAAGCCACGTTTGGGTCAGAGGGTGGTAATGTTACAACACCAGCCAGCCCCGCGGAAAGGGAAATTGAGGCTCAGCCTCTGGCTTCAAACACAGAGGAAGTGGGTGGTCTAGGGCTTTGACTTCAGACTCCTGCTCTGGGGGAAGGAGGAGTCCCTTCTTGCCCTGTACCCCTGTTCTGGCCAAGGTGCAGGTGCGGCTGCTCTGGGCCTTTCCCAGCCCCTGGAGCGGTGGTAAAGCCCAGGCTCTGGGTTTGGAGCCACATCCCAGCTGTGTGACCTGGGAGGGGGAATGACCTCTGAGCCAGTTTCCTTATCTGATCAAGGGGTCTCATAAGACTAAAATGAGCTAATGCGTGTGAGATGCTTAACGCCATGCCTGGCACATCACGGCTCTCGGAGGCCGGCCTCCCTCGGCCTCTGGGGCATTAATACTCTACCTGGCTAACGAGTTTTAGAAAGGAGAGCTTGTAGGGCCAGCAGATAGTGTAGTGGTTACGTTGCTGGACTCCCACATGGCCGACCACGGTTCAAATCCTTCATGGACCCAGTGACTTGAAACGCACCTCAGGTGCGTGTGCGTACATGCCCAAGGTCCAGGAGGGGAATAGAGGAGGAGGGATTGCGGTGTGGCCTTCCTCCTTCCTCCCTGGGGGAGTGGTGGCGGCGGCTTCTCACTTTCCCTCTCTTTCTCCCTCCCTCGGGTGAGTACACACACACACACACACACACACATATGCTAAGGCAAACATTTCTTTAAAAAAGGAGGGAGGACTAGCATGTGGCATGGTGGTTAAGGACGCTGGACTCCCGCATGGCCAACTGAGGTTCAAGTCTCAGACCTGGTGGCTCACTTTCCCTCCCTCTCTTTCTCTCTCTCACTCCAGTCAAAATAAATAAATAAATAAATAAGTTATAAAATCATTCGGAGAGTTGCTGACTGTGAGGTCTGACCAGACTGGCAATTTGAGGAACACTCCAGGTAAATTGTTCCACGTGTGCCCAAAAGCCGGGAGGGAGGAGAAAAGGAGGCTAGGGGATTGCGGCATGGACACTGTCATGGGGTGCTTTCTCACTTCCCCTCTCTGTTTTTCTCTGGCAAGCACACACCCCTAACAAATGAAAGAAGGGAGGGAGGGAAGGAAGAAAAAGAGCTTCCCTGGAGAGCGCGCCCGGGAAAGAGCCATGCTGGGGCAGGTGTGTCCCCCAGGCAGAGGACCACTGGGCTAGGCCCGGGATGGGCTGCTGCTCCAGGGGCGGACTGTCTCTGAGCGGAGCCCAGCCTTTTCCCCCTCTGAGCAGGTGCGCATGGCAGGCAGGAGGCAGGGCGCGGCCCCCACTAACAGGGTGGAAAAGTCGTTTTTCATTTCAAAATGTTTTCTTTCTTTACCCATGATAGTGTGCATGCACACCCACGTGAGAGCGAGCGAGAGAGAGGGGCACCCTCCACGGGGAATGGCCATGCGGTGCCCCTTCCTCCAGGGCACGTGGGGGAGTTTCAGGCGGAAGGGACAGCTGCGGTCCCGGGAGGCGTCTGGCACCTCTGGAGCAGCGCAGTACACGGAATCAGCCCTCCTCCCTTTCTCTTCCTTCCTTCTTTTCTCTCTCTCTCTCTCTCTCTCTCGCTATAGGGTGCGTGTACTCGGCGTTGGGAGCAGTGAGAAATTACTCCCTGAGGGTCAGGGCCATGCGGCAATCCCTCCTCCCCCATTCTCCTTTCAGGATTGTGGGTACTCAAGCTCCTGTGCCCGGTTTGTTCTTTTTCTTTCTTTTTTTTTTTTTTGAGAGGTTTTTGCTTTGGGGCGCATGCGCTTGTCAGAAAAACAGAGAGAGACAGAAAGCGAGGAAATCATCCCCCAGGGGGATGGCCATGCTGCAACCCCTTCTCCTCCATTCTCCTCTCAGGATCTTGGGTATGCACGCACACGTGCCTGGTGTGAGTTTAAGCCACCGGGTCTGGGACATGAACCGAGGTCGACTACATGGGAGTCCAGCGACACAGCCATTACGCTAACTGCTGGTCCCTCCAGTGTGTTCTTCAGGCTGCCAAGTCCGGGACTCGAACAGTGCAGTTGAGCATGTGAGACGCACCTTAACCACCACGCCACCACCCAGCCTCTCTCTCTTTTTAAAATTTCTTTGGGCCGGGCCCAACAGATGGAATAATAGTTACATTACTGGACTCTCACATAGTCAACCGTGGTTCGAGAAAGGAAGGCAAAGGGATTCCGGCATGGACACCTTAAAACTCAACCTGGGTGGGAACCAGCAGTTAGCGTAATGGCTGTGTTGCTGGACTCCCACGTAGTCAACCGCGGTTTGCGTCCCGGACCCGGTGGCTTAAAACTCACGCCGGGCGCGTGTGCGTGCGTGCCCAAGATCCCGAGAGGAGAATGGAGGAGAAGGGATTGCGGCGTGACCCGTCCGAGAGCCTGGTACGCACCAGCCCCTGCGAGAGGGGGATGGGGGACCGCGTCAACCTCTTTGTGCCACCGCCCCCGGTCTGGCCACAGCAGGCACCCTGTGCAGGCAGTTGAGTTCACCGATGGTACCTTGGTGCTCCTTCTGCCAGGTGTGCCCTGTCCCCACAGACCGAGAGCAACAGCATCTCCAAGTCAGCCTCAAAACCACCTTGCAAGCTGCTCTGGCTAAGAGCCTCCCAGATCTGGGGACCAGCAGATGCACAACGGCTGTCGCTTGACTCCCACGCGGTCGATCGCAGTTTAAGTCCCAGACCTGGTGGCTTAAAACTCATGCTGGGGGACCAGCAGGTGGCATAATGGTTATGTGGTTGGACTCTCACATAGTCAACCATGGTTGGAGTCCTGGACCCGGTGGCTTTAACCTCACGCTGGGCGTGTGTGCGTGCGTGCCCAAGATCCCGAGAGGAGAATGGGGGAGAAGGGATTGTGGCTTGGGCATCCCCCCTGGGGGCGTTGATTTCTCACTTTCTGTTTCTATGTCTCTCCAGTGAACGCACGCACCTTATAGCAAAAAATCACTCTCTATAAAAGAAAAAAGAGTAATTCCTTTTTGGCCAGCTGGTGGCGTGGTGGTTAAGGCAGCTGGATCCCGTATGGCCAACTTGCGGTTTGAGTCTAGACCCAGCTTCCTGAGTGTACGTGAATGTGTGCCCCAAGTCCCAAAAGGATGGAGAAAGGATTGCGGTGTGATCAGGGTGGGGCATTCTCCCTCGCCATCTCTCTCCGATGAGGACACACAGCTTCAGGTCGTTAGAAATGAAGACAGACTCTTCAGGGTCTTGAGATCCCCTTTCTTTACTCCTCTGTCCTCCATTGTATATGACTTCCATCCTCAGTGTCACCTCAGGTTCCCAAAGTAGGCTGCGGGAGCTCCAACCCTCACATTTGCAATCCAGGCCAAGGCTCAGAATAAGTAGAAGGAAGGAAAGAAGAGCA